CCACTGACCGACAAGAACAAAACCGACCCGGGAAACTTGGGCAAAAGCCTCGATCCTGTGTATCAATCCGTGAATCCGTGAATCCCGAGTCGCTGTTCAAGATGCCACGTCGAAAGTCCGGCTGTTGTTCCGTAAACCTGGTTCAGCAGAGCTGGGCAAGTGCTGCGGTCAGATTCTTCCGCATAACCCGCGTGGTCCATTCCCTGATCCAGACATTTGGGGAATGTTCTCTTTTCAGTGCCTGGAAACGCCATCTAAAGTTGACTGTGAACGAGTTAGACGACTTTGACGCACATTGGTTTCGTTAAACATGAATGCGAACGTTTCAACTAGAAGTCTCTCGCAACTGACAGCATGACATTTTGGTTCAGTCTGGGGATCAAGGTGGTTCTTAATTCCCTGCGATCCTCCAGGCTTCCGAACCCTCTGGTTCACCCTACCCTGGTCCGTTGTCTCCCAGTTCATCACTTTCGGACACAACTCAATTCAGTCAGCTTAAACTTCGAATGAAAAATGCATCATCTCCGTACTGGCATTTCATCAAACTCTGCCGCCGAAGACAGCATCGGTGTCAACAAACAAGACTGTGGGCCACAAACACGGATACTATCAAGCACGCTCATCTAGTGCATCCTATGGCGCTTCCGAACAGCAACCGCGCATCCAGAATTCCAAACCGATGGGCTCCGCACTGAGTCTATCGTGTAACTGACTGCTTCCGCTTCAGTGCCTCAGTGTCGGAAGAGGACCCGCCAACAAGGGCCACAATAGCTTTACTACGAACAAGCGGATGCAAAAATGACAAGGAGTACTGTGGTACTTAAATCGCGCGTTGGATTGACATTCGTCATCTTCAGACGTGCTTCCATGACATACCTGAACACCCACCACCGTCAACTGTTGCTGTTGACTGTGTGAGCGTCTATTCGGAAACTGGTAGGTTGTTTCAAGTAAGTCCCCTCGCGTCACCGGTAGTTCCTCACAGCTCTGGTTAATGACCGTCCGGTCAGCCTGGAGTCGGGCACTCCTTCGGGCATCACTGTTATGTCTGAGAAGCTTTAGCACACGCTTGGGCGATCTCCAGTTCGACCGTCCTCCAGAACTGACATCAGTGCCTGTGGTGCTGAGCTATGGCTTTTCAGCGAACTACCATGCATTCAGGGAAACAGCATCCACTGTTTCCTACTACTCGACATCCCCTGAACTGGATTTTCTTAGTCTTGACCGATTCGACCGTCTTGGTTTGGCAGTTGTCCTGATCTATTCCGTCTTGTAATGCAGTCGATTCTTCTGTTGTGGTCGTAGATAAGGCAGTTGTTGGATCGTCAATTGCATGGGATATATCGTTGTTTTGGTTTTGGACAGTCGACCGGTAGTCGGACGAACCGGTTTGGTCGGTGGGGTTCCAATTTGATAGGTAGGTTGTTTGACGAGGTGATTAAACGTGTGTGTCATCATCATCATCAATGACAGCAACATCAGTGTTGGTACTGATGCTTCACTGCCGTACAACCATAAAGTTCGTTTATATATATATATATATATATATATATATTTTTATTAAAAGCCCTAAAGTGAAGAGAAGAGAAAAAGAGTGGGTGAGGGAGGGGCCCTACTGCTGGCCTATGTCAAG